CCTATCCCACTAATCTGGAGTTAATAAACACTGGGGTGTCTGTAGTTCGCTGAAACTCCTGTCTTGCGTCTTTCTTCTTCAGCGCAAAGTTGGGCTCCCTCAGCTCTCGTGAGGTTTGGGCTTTGAGAGAATGTGGGCTCTTCCCTCGCTTGCACTTGGAAATGTGTCTCTTGGAGGGGAGGCTGGCAGAATCAGAAATGGGACTTGATTGTCCCTTTTTACCCAGCAAAATTTCCTTTCTGCCACAGCGTTGTAAAGCCGGTGTCTTGCTCAGCACCTTCTCTCTGTGCTGATGCAGCAACACGTTGTTGACTCAGGCTCTGTGAGACACACAGGTAATGGCAGTAACACAAGCGTTGCCTCACCAAGTTTAGGGCAAGGGCTGCTGCACAGACAGTACAAACTGCCAGGAGCTAAATCTCCTGCCATTAACAAAGTACCCCAGGAGACACAGTGCCTTCATTCTACTTTGGACTGTTTGTTCTTTGAACATGTGGTAGAAGGACCAGCAATAGCAAACTTTCCTTTTTTCAACATTTCTCACCACTCTCTCTCCTTTTTCTGGCCCTAAATCTGATCCACTTTCCTGGCATTTAAAGAACAGCACATTTCAAGTACCTGTCCACAAACCTCCTTTCTGTTTGCTCCCTTACTTCCTGCTGTGTTTCTGTTTTGGCTCCTGTCTCACTCTCCAGATCTGTTGCCAGAAAATCACTTAAGCACACCGAGCTGACAGGCTAAAGGAACAAGAAAGTCATAGGGAACCCCAAGACTCAGCACCTAGAGAGTCAGAAGAAGGGAGTTTTCCTCATCCCCAACTTGTAGTTCCTTTTCCTCCCATAAACTTCCTTAATCTGTGCCACTCCCCTCATTTTCCCTATTTGTATCTTCCAGCTCCTGCTAAGTACCTTCAGAGGCCTCAGCTGAACAGATTTCCTCTTGCTCCAGCAGCAAATGTCTGGCATTGTTCCTCATGGCCAGTGCTGAGTGACACAGGGCCCTGCCAAACTGAAGGGAAAAGGGAAGTTTTAGCAGATTATCACATCTCAGTCTCTTACTTAAATAAGCAGTTCATAGTCACTGGTACTTCCCACCCATCCACCCCTTTCTTAAAATTGTGAAATAATTTAGGTTGGAGGGGCCTGTGGAGGTCTCTGAAGTTCCACAAACATTACAGGAGTGGGTGGTATCTTCATACTTTCATTACCCTACTATGAGTCATTGTGATTTGGGTTTTGATCTCAAATCCCTGCTCATTACAGACCACAGGAAGGCACTCAAGCCAAGAATTCATGTAGGCTGATTATCAAGTGGTTTGTTCTGGATGTAAATCTAGTGCTCACTGTTTTTTCACACCCTCAGCAACCTCCTGTCAAAGCCCGGAGTACAGACACCCATAAAAGATCAACATGACAGAAGAAGCACTAAAAGTGAGGGACTGCAGAAGAGGAAGAACCTCGCAACAAAACGGTTCAAAGAGGTGTTCTCAGGGTAGACATCAAGATGCTCTGTGCATCTGGAAGTCTGAAAGAGGAAAGAAAATAATCAAGTGGAAATGTTTGAGAAGCAGTGAATTAATTGTTGGCTAGGTACAGTGTCTGAGCCCTGTTCTGGACTGATACTGAAGGGACTACACTGGAAATGCAGCTGCAAAAGGTCCTTGCTGGGCAGCCAGACGCAGCATCCTCTCTGCTCCAGAAAGGAGCATTCCCATGCACATCCATGCAATCCCACCGTGCCCCAGACTTCAGCTCAGAGAGGGGATGGATAATGGGACAGAGAAGAACACAGGAAAGACACCTGGACTAGGTCATTTCCCACATGAATTATCCCAGGTCCTGCGGCAACAGGGCTGGTTAAAGGGCAGAAAAACCCGAAAAGGGACAAGAAAACTGGGGATGCCATTCCTGAGCCTCCTCTAAGGCATCCGACAGCGCACAGGGACAACCCGCGCCGTGGTCTCGCACTCCGGCGCAGCAGGACCAGCCCGTGCGAGGGGAGGGGGGACAGGAACGGGGACACGAAGGGAGGGGGGACAGGAACGGGGACACGGAGGGAGGGGGGACAGGAGCGGGGCCGGCCCGGGGACACTCCGCCCCGGCGGGGCGGGACGAGCCGCCGGCCCCGCACCGAGGGCTGCGAACGCGGGGAGCGGCGAGAGAGCGGCCGGGGCTGCGGGCGGAGCGGGGCCAGGGGGCGGCGGGACCCCGTCGGGGATCGGGACCGGGACTAGGACTGGGATCGGGACCTGGATCAGAGCCTGACCGCCCCGCCCTGTCCCGCAGCTCGCTGCAGTTGCGGGGTCGCCAAACGCCGTCCGGAATGGCAGCCGAGGTGAGGGTGAACTTTGCTTCTCCGGGGGGCTCAGCCGAGTTAAACTGTAAGTCCCAGAGCCTCCAGGTTCTGCCCTGGACCTGGGGAAGGCCAATAAGCGATGCGGTTCGTGCCTGACGACTTGTGTTTGGGCAGGAGGCACTTTCCAGCAGCTTGGGTAAGCACCTCCCTGAACAAAAGCTGCATTTTCGGTTTCCTGCCCTGGTGAGCCGTGACCAGGCAGCTTGGCGAGTCACACTTGCTGCTTCCAAATGGCTGCTACAGCCCTGGCCTCCTCTGCTCCAGGTTACAGCACATCATCTGTCAGGCTGTACAGCCACTGCTCCAACCAGAGCCCTGCAGCTGCCTAAAATTAATCTTTCAGTTTAGATTTCCTGACTGCAAATGGATGTGTTGCAATGTTTCTGCCGATCCACTTCTTACTTTGATGGAAACCCGCAATACTTAAGTTATGCCTAGAAATTTCTGTTCCCCAGTCCAGTGCTTAACCTCTGGAATGGCCTTTAATTTAGCATCCCCTGTGCCGTGCTCCTGGGGGCACCAAATGAGTGCTGAGGACCTCTGACATTTCTTTTTAAATTCTGATCCCCCCATCTGCCGTCCCTCAGCTTTCTGACAAAGATACCCAAAAGCACATGCCCACACTGCTACCTCTGTAGGCTCTCTCCTGCTGTCCTCTCAGGCACGTTGTTTCAGCAGGGATCAGCACAGACAGGGAGACAGTCACTAGGGAAAAAATTCCTAAGGTTGCTCAACAGTGCTTTGTGTGACTGGTAAAGCCCCGGCACAGATCAGTTTACAACTGTCCTGCCAGCTCCTTGCTGTCCATGGTAGTTGCAGTGAACAGCAGGAGAAGAGACTTGGCAGGGGTGTTTAAAAAATCAAGTAGATTATTAATTATTATCCACTTCAAGTGTCCTTCAATTGCTTTTTTTTGGTGCCTGAGAGCACCACAGAGTTGCCTTTGAAGTCTTTGATAAGCTGTAAGGCCTCTGCACAGGTAAAATTCTTACCCACTTTGGTGCAAGTCTGGCAGAGTTTGGGCTTGGGGGTGTCTTACCTGGGCAAGCAAAAAGCTTCTCAACAAGTGACACACGTGGGCTGAGCCAGTGAGTCCATCCAGGTGCTGAATCACTGGTGGCAGGGGGTTACACACACCCTGCTGGGATTGCCTTTGGTCACCCAGGGAAGGAGCTGTGCAGGGGACACATTCGAGTGTGTGAGGTCACTGTGTGAATCCTGGTTTGGGTGGCAAAAAGCCCTTTTGTTTCCACGTGTTTCAGCACCTTTTTGTTGATTTATTTTTCTGAACATTCCTGGACCTGGAATTCCCTTTCTGCCATGTACATTTTATTATGCTGATTTTACACCAAAGCCTGCAAGCACATCATGAAGTCTGGAGATGCTTCAAATGGTAACTTCAAACACTTCATAATGTGGCTTGTGCTGGCCCACAGCTCTTTGTCAGTCAAAGAACAATCTGTTAGTTAAACAGCACAAAAAGGATTTAGAGGATACTAACTTTCACTCTAATCCTTACTGCTTTACTTTTTACCCCCTTTAAAAGGCTGTCAAAGGGTTGTTGACCTGCAGATGCCTCAAAAGAGAAATCCGTGCTGGTCTGGCACCAGGTGCCCTGATATTAATTTCAAGGACTCCCTGCAGAGTCCTGCAGAGGTAAAGTATCTTGGAGGGTTCCTGAGCTAGACATCACAGCTCAGGGGTAAATAATACTGACAGTGATGTGTTCTCCTTGTCTTCAACTACTTCCAAAGATCCTGAAGTCCAGGGCTGTTTCTGGTCAGAAAGGACAGTGGTGTGGCCACTGTGTTGGATAAACAGATTGTTAGATATTACATAGTACACAGAAACTTAAATGAAGTTATTACGCCTCTTTAACTTGTTTCTCTCTCAGGGGGATAAACTTTGGGGAGGAAGATTCAGTGGAAGCACAGATCCAGTCATGGAGATGCTCAATGCTTCCATTTCCTATGATCAGAGACTGTCTGAAGTTGATATCCAGGGGAGCATGGCTTATGCCAAAGCCTTGGAGAAGGCTGGAATCCTATCAAAAACTGAGCTGGAGAAGATCCTGGGTGGCCTGGAAAAGGTATTTCTTTCCTTCCCAAACTGTCACATGTGCTGGAATGAATGACTCCTTACCTGATAGCAGCCTCCCTGTATTTAATAATCATCGTGGTATAAATATGGTATGGAAATAAACATCATCTGCTGATGTTTGTAGATCTCTGAGGAATGGTCCAAAGGAGTCTTTGTGCTGAAACCAACTGATGAGGATATCCACACTGCCAATGAACGCAGGCTAAAGGTTTGGGTTCTCTATCCTCTTGTTCCTGTTTCTCTGTAGCTGGATCTGCCTGATGTTAAGAGCATGTACCTCTGTCCTTCTGTGAAATTCCTCTGGACCCCAAGTGCACAGGCCAGTGTCTCCAAGCCCCCTTCTTTGGAAGTGTCACTGCTGAAACACAGAACCCAAACCTGCCCTTCCCCAAAACAAATCCCATGGCTACTCACGGGATCCTAGAGCTGAGTCCCTTCCAGGCAGGGAGATGTGCTCATGTGGAGTCTCTTGCTTAGAATACAGAGACACTGACAGAAATCCTCCTCTTGTCCTCAGGAGCTGATTGGAGACGTAGCTGGAAAGTTGCACACTGGAAGAAGCAGGAATGATCAGGTATGTACAGAATCTTTTTTTTCCTCCTTCTGTATTCCTCCCCCACCTTAGTTCCTTAATTGAATTTTTTATGCCATCTTTCACATGCCCCGACACTCTCCAGCATGTACTTGGGCTTTAAACTAGTTATGCTGCAATGACTCATCCACACAGGAGAATGGGATCTGCAGAATTGCTTCCTGGTGGTAAAAGGCCCCAGACCTCCCCTGACATTGCTTTGAAAGCCCACAGAAACCCTGACTCTGCTGGCTGGGATCAGTCCTTCTACTGATGACTGACTTGTGTTGGTTGAAGATTCTCTGATTCAAACTTAACAAATACCTGGGAAGTCCATGGAAAAGAACAGGCTCTAATTCTGTTCATGGAAAGCAACACACAGCAGCTTTCACAGACAGTGACCAGGGATAGATCTGGTGAGAGGAAGATGCACCTTCCCATTACATAAAACAAGGAGGGGATAACTGTGCCAAGGCTTTCTGCTGAGCAATATTTGGTCACCAGATCTGTCACATTTTGCTTAGTCTGACCGTGGCCAATCTCACACAGGTTGTGACTGACTTGAAGCTGTTCATGAAGAATTCCCTCTCTGTCATCTCCACACACCTCCTGCAGCTCATTAAGACCCTGGTGGAACGCGCTGCCATGTAAGTCCTTTGCCAAATCCTATGCCTTGCTGGGCCAGGAGACCTGTAGGCTTGTTCTTTGTAGGCTTGTTCTTTGACTGACACCAGTGGGGCAGCAGCAGGAGGGAGTTACAGCCCTGCCCCTGCCCTCCATCCTGACCTCTTTCTCTCACCTCCTTCTCTCCTCTGCCACGCAGAGAAATCGATGTCATCCTGCCTGGCTACACCCACCTGCAGAAAGCTCAGCCCATCCGATGGAGCCAGTTCTTGCTCAGGTCAGCACCTTCCAGCCCTGGCTGGAGGAGCCTTCTCCAGCCTCGGGGCCCTGCTCTGCTGGAGCCCAGGAGTGCATCCCCCTCTGAGGGGGTGGGGACAAACCAGAGGGGAACCTGCAGACTGGGACAGGACCTCCCCATGTTCCTGTGTGGCTCTGACCAACTGGGAACCCAGCAGGGGTTGGGCAGTGGTGACCAACTCCCTGCTCTCCATCCTTTGGCCACAGTTACACCCTGGCTAATGAGGTAACATGGAGAATCTTGTGTCCAGCTAAGGCCTTAGGGCCTTGGCTTCATTCCACCCTCTTGTTCGAGAGGGGATCCAGGCTCCAGGCATGACAGAGTAGAGATTGGAAAGGAAAGAGACATTCCCTGACTTCATGTGCTCTATCTCCCTTGTCCTTCCCCAGCCACGCTGTTGCTCTGACCCGTGACTCTGAGCGCCTGGGAGAGATAAAAAAGAGGATCAACGTCTTGCCTTTGGGAAGGTGAGACCTACTCTTTGTGTAATCAGTGGGCCTTGCTTTGCTCTGCAAAGTCTTCAGAGGTGCCTTCCCTGCTTCTTAGAGCTCAGTTTTGGATGAGATATGCAAAGTATCTTGCATGACTCCTGTTTCTTTCTCCCCTGGCAGTGGTGCTCTGGCTGGCAACCCACTGGAGATTGATAGAGAGCTTCTGCGTAGTGGTAAATGTTTCCCTGTGGTTGAGGGGCACAGAACTACCTGTAATACCTACGAGGGAAGAAAGCATTGATACAGGGCTCCCAATGGCACTGTAATGCCCTGTCCTGGAGCCTAAGCCTTTCCTTCTTCAGGCTTTTTGCTGCAATGAGACAGGCAATGCCTGTGAGGTGGGAGGAGGAAGAGCCACCCCTGCTGCACAGTGGCTGTCTGGGCTCACAGTAAAGGCCCCAGCTGGTGCAACATTAGAGCATGTTTGTGTTCCTGGGACCACTCCAGGGCTCACAGTCACCTGCACACTGGGGCACCCTGGGGCATTCAAGCTCCTGTCATGCCAAGCCTGACCTCCTGTGTCCATCACCTTCCTTACAGAGCTGGACTTTGCTTCCATCAGCCTGAACAGCATGGATGCTGTGAGTGAGAGAGACTTTGTGGGTAAGCACAACTCCATCACTTCTTCCCAGCACTCTTAGATGTATGTTCTGAGAGCTTTCCAGTTAACCTCCTTTAATAAGGGGACTGAAATCCCCCATCAGGAAACAAAGCTCTAGTCAGGGCTCCCTGGGTTATCAAGTAAACCAGCACCTTTTTCCCCTGCTGATTTCCTGCCTTCTCTGCAGTGGAATTCCTGTCTGTTGCCACCCTGCTGATGATCCACCTTAGCAAGATGGCTGAGGATCTCATCATCTACAGCACCAGCGAGTTTGGCTTTCTGACTCTCTCTGATACCTACTGGTAGGTTTCTGGTCTCTGTGGTGTGATTGTCCTTAGCTGTCCTCACCTGAGAGCGTGGGGCAGTGTTTGGGGTCTCTCTGTGCACAAGGCTGACGCAGCATTAAAGGGCTGGCACAAAGGCAGCCTCAGGGGGAATATTCCTCAGCAATGACCACTTATTTCTGGTTCTGGTAACTCATCCAAGTCTGAGTTCAGCTCAGCAACCCCTCCCTGGCAACTGCTGGCGGAGAGAACTTCCTCCTCAGCTGGGAATGCTGCCAAAGCCCTTCCTGGACTAGCAGGGTTTGCAATCCCAACAGACTCCTTGTCTCCCAGAGTGGCACAACCACAACCCTCCCTCCCTGAGATCACTTAGGCTGGCCTGCTGAAACCACCTCTGCAGGGGCGTGGAGGGGGAGCCTCCTTTTTCCTTCATCTTTGAGAGGTGGGACTGTGTGGCTGCTCCAGATGAGTTGCAAAACCAAAGGCTTTGCTGTGGGAAACATGAGAAACTCGACACTCAGTTCACTGCTTTCCTGCACCATAAAAAGGTGTACAAGGAAAGGTGGCCCACATGTTCCTTTTGAAAGGCTGGGTCAGTAGTGATGCATGGCCTGTGTCTATATGGATGGGGACCTGACTCACCACTGCACTCCACACACCTTCCCTGCAGCTCTGGCAGCAGCCTGATGCCTCAGAAGAAGAATCCTGACAGTCTGGAACTGATCCGCAGCAAAGCTGGACGAGTGTTTGGACGGGTGAGCCTGAGAGAGAAGCAAGTGGGAGGGGAAACTGCTCCTACCAGGGCTGAAGCATCTTCCTTCTCCCTCTGCATAAAGAGCTGGGCTCTGAACCTGTGCTGGGGGATGTGCCTGGCTCTGTAACTCACTGCCCTGCCTGTTTCTCTCTGCAGTTGGCTGCTATTCTCATGGTCCTCAAAGGACTCCCCAGCACTTACAACAAGGACCTGCAGGTAAAGCACTTGTTAGTTTTCACACCATCTCTCTGAGCACACACGACTGTCTTCTGCTCTCTTGAGGAGTCAGCAGAGCTGGCTGCTCAGCCTGTTGGGTTTTTGGGCTGCATCACATTGACTTACAGCCATTTCCATCCCTGTTCTGACACAGGAGGACAAGGAGGCTGTTTTTGATGTTGTGGACACCCTGAATGCTGTGCTCCAGGTTGCCACAGGAGTGATTTCGACCCTCCAAGTAAGGCTTCTTCTTCAGATTCTTGCTATTGAACATGGTCATGGTGCACATTCTCTCAGTAACACAGGGAACAGATCTCTAGTCCCAAAATGAAAACTCTTCAGTGCCTCACCCATACTGCTCATGTTGGT